CTTGTATTTTGTCCTCATTTTTGTAGCTTTCTTGGTAACTATTTTTCTTAATGGTTTCCTTATCCTTGTTGTATATCTGAAAGAGAACCTTCACAAGCCTATGTATATCTTTTTGAGCAACCTGTTTGTAAATGGCTTGTACTTGAGTGTTGCTCTGTATCCTCAAATTCTGAGTAACTTGCTGTCAGATGTGCAAATGATCACCCGCTTCTGGTGCCAGTTTCAGGTATTTTGTCTTCATAATTATGTTTGTTGTGAATGTACCATACTGACAGTAATGGGGTATGACAGATTTGTGTCCATCTGTATGCCACTGCAATACCACAGCATCATGACGCCCGGGACCGTATCTAAGCTTGTTGCTTTTGCCTGGCTGTTTCCTGTCTTGATTTTGAGTGGACTTCTAGGATTAACTTCCAGGGTTCCATTGTGTGGCAATACTATAGGTAAAGTGTACTGTGACAACTGGTCCATTGTGCGGCTATCTTGTACGGACACTACCAAGGAAAATACATATGGGATCTTTGCTAGTATTTTATTTCCAGGCATACCAGTGCTTTTGGTTGTGTTGTCCTATCAGAGAATACTGAGAGCCTGCTTGAAGGCTTCAAAGGAAGCAAGAGGCAAAGCTCTGACTACGTGCCTGCCTCACATCATAACGTTCCTGAAGTTCTGCATAAACGTCCTCTTCGAGGTCATCAGCCGCCGTCTGGACAACAGCAGTGTGCCGTTAGCGGTGCGGACCTTCCTGTCTCTGCAGTTGTTCATTGTCCCCCCTCTGCTCAACCCACTCGTTTACGGACTCCGACTGCAGGAAATGAGGAGCACCGTGGAGAAGGTGTTTCTCAGACACAAGAGTGCAGTACAGCATAATTTATAATTAAGGTATAATTCTGCTGTGAGCAAAAATATTTTTAAAAATCTGTGTATTTTACGAATTTACATAAACAGGAAAAAACGAATTAAAATAAATATCGATTCATGATTTAATTAAACATTTTAAAACTATTCCCTGTAAAAGTAAAAGACAGGTGCCAATTTATGATTCAGGAATGTGAAGTGTTTTTGTCAGAAGTCTGTCAGAATCATGAAGTTGTGATTTTATTAAAGCTTTCTTACAGTAAACAAATGAAATACATCCAGTTCAATGAATCAGAAATGTTTGTATTTATTGTCCATTAAAGCAGGTAGCTAAAAACTCCAACATGACTTCTTATCATATCTGATCCATAATTCAAATGAAAACAAATGCTCAGTATTATCTTTTTTTCTCCTGCAACTTGCAGAACACCCATTATAAAAATTAGTCCTTGCATCTGCATGCAATTAACAATAAAAGATCATTGTGAATAATAAAAAAAGACAGATACTAGAACAGAATATTTTAGCTATATTAGAGAACACATGAGGGATTATAAAGATACCGTAGCACATAATCACAGAAAGGGAAACACAATCAGAGCACACACCCTTCCTCTAATTACTGTAAGTAAAGCTTTTCCATTAGATAGTTAAGGGTTTATTTAAAAGTGGCTGCTAACTAAAAAATAAATAATCCACCACAGATTAAGAAAAAAGGATGGGTTGAAGACAAGGCAGATTTCTTAAACTTTGTGAATCTGATTTCGGTTAAAGTGTAACCAAGCATGAGGTGAATGATTGAGATCTGAGGGCAGGGCATGGACCTAAATTAATACAAATCTCATCTGACACTGCCGTTGTGCCTTGAACAAGGTGCTTTACCTCAGTTTTTCCTGTATAAAGGAGGACCAGCAGTCCTCGGAGGTGATCCCTGAGATGGACAGGTGTCCCATCCAGAGGAGAGTCACATTATTTCAGTCTGCTTCACACTATGGTAACCTGGATTAGTTCTGGCAAATGGGTCCTGTTCTCTGGTGTGGACTTTGCCTTTGCCTTTTCTATGACAGATGAGGACAGTTCATCTGATTTATATAGTGGAGGCTCAAGGCAAATGAAAGCATAGTTAAATCAATATTTAAAGTTGAGAAAATCTGGAATTCCATAATTTTCTAGCAGGTTTGATTATGAGCACCACATTTTTTAAGATTTTGTGCAGCCAGCTTAGGTAAATGAAGCTTGTTACTTCTTTGCATCTGTTACAAAATCCAGCTTTCTGAATAGGAATAAATGGGGTAATTTAATACTTAAATGTGCCACCTGGTGGCTAGGATGAGGTTAACATCATCGGCAATTTTTACATACATTTCCATTGGTACAGGAGTTCTGAACCTTTTCTTGCTGTAAGAAATTATTCTAAAAATAAATATGGAATAAATATAAAATTACAATAAAGTCTTTTATTACTTCTGAGAATGCTTTTACTATTTACAGAATACGTTTAGACTCACTTATAGGGTTATCTATGAAGGTACTAAGTAAACTTTACTATGTCCAGAATTCTAGGGCTCATGTGCTAATTAAAACTACTTTACCTCAGCAGATAACTCCTGCCCTATGCAAATTCCACTGGCTTCCTGTGAAATTTAGAGTTGACTTTAATGCTTCTGTCAATCCTGTAGAGGATAAATGAAGGTTATTTTAAGGGATTATTGCATAAGTATAGTTTAACATTTAATCAGAGATCTGTTGATTCAGATTTTCTCATTTTACCTAAGACCTGACTCTAAACACCAGCTTAAAGAACATAAACTTGTACAGCAGAGCACAGGGCCTGTGGAAGCCATTGCCCAGGTCAGCTGACATCTTAAAAATGTGTTTATGGATATGTTCATTTTAGATTTTAATGTGCAACCTTGTTTACTCTTGATTAAATTGAATCAATTTACTAAGCTCCTTTGTCTCTTTCTTTTTACTGCATTACACGAACACTCATGTGCATCACTTTTTTTGAAAATAACTTATAAAGAAAATTGTATAATTGTGTTTTTCTAAAATGTGGAAAACAGATTAAAAAGTGTTTTTTTTTTGTTTCACTGTCGACAGTGATATATATAAAACCGAATTAATTTTCCTATATTATAACATTGTGAGAGAAATCGTCATGGGACTTTGTTAGGCCAGTGTAGAGCAAAATTACTAACAGTATGGCCTTTCAAATCTACACCATTGAGTTTGGTACAGTCTACTTCTGAACTATTTCACTGATGAATGTTAGAATTTTTTCTCAATTAAAGTGATAGCTACATTAAAGGGCTATTGATATTGTAGGGCGTTGGTTCACAACTTGCTGCAGAGCAAGGGGTTCTACTACCTTTAGGAATGGGAAAACATGCAAAGTTTATAGACTAGGGAAAGTCCCAAGTTTTCCCACATGATTTTCACACAGACACAGCCTATGGTGATCTCACTCTTAGGCATATTTTAAAACATGATTCAGAACATCTGACGTATGTGCTCCACAAGTATCTGTGCATTGCAAAAATGTGATTTAATGATTCAGAACATCTGACGTATGTGCTCCACAAGTATCTGTGCATTGCAAAAATGTGATTTAATGATTCAGAACATCTGACGTATGTGCTTCACAAGTATCTGTGCATTGCAAAAATGTGATTTAATCTGACTAGATGTACAGGATATCCAATAAATGTGCTTGATTTTTCAAATATAATTTCACAAGCAGATTTTTTTTTTATTATTTCAACAAGGGAAGATCAGCAAACAAGGAATTTTCTAAAATTCTGAACCTCAGTACTGTGATAAAAAGGTACCATGGGCCAGGACAGACTGTGAATCCTCTCCTATTTTAGTTACTCATTAATCCTTCAAATATCAACATTAGCATGCAGGGAACAACACACTTTCCCTTTGTTTACATTAAGTTTCTTCTCAGCTGAGGACTCAGAGCTGTTAAAAGCCTAGCTTGAATATCCTGATCTTGGCCAATATTTGTCTTTCGGGAGTATGCACATTCCTGAGATGAAAGAATGCAGGAAGGTGATTGTAAAAGGAAAAGCACTGAGGGAAGGTAGCTGCTGATGTGGAATCTTTCTATGGGATTCATTCTTAATAATTGACCAGAGTCAGCAAAGACCTGTGTGAGTATCACACCTCCCTGAGCACAAACAATGCTATGACTGCGTGCTCCAAAAAGCTGGAACCAAGTAGGACTGTGATTTCAAGGAAGAACTACTCCTATTTCAGCTTTCATCTCTGAAATTAAAACAGCACCACCCTATCTCACAGACGTCAGACATAGTCATCTTGGACTACTGTAGCACGAACTCTCTCACAGTGCCACTAATCCAAATCCTACATGACAACATTAAAGTCTCGTAGCCCATTTAGAGTCCTGACATAAAATTCTGAAGGATTTTAATGCAAGACCAGGGTGACAATCAAAACTTCTCTGGAAGCGTGGTGCCCATAAATCTCAAGAGTCTCAGTGGTTGAGTCTATCTATAAAAAAAACTATTAAGAAATTTGGGTTTTCAGCACAAATGTGTAACCAAGACTACACACACATATATATATATATATGTGTGTGTCACATAACATGAGCAACACAGAATGTTATAATAAAGTATTAGAGACTCCATCATTGGTCTTTGCCCCAAAAGCCAGAAATTGTTATAGGTAATCATTAAATTACCAACTTCTAAAAACATTTACTACTCGATTAAGCAGAGTATATGAGTAATTTATATATTATTTGAAAGAAAGAGCTAAATTCCCTTAAGTCCTTAAATACACTGTTTACCTTAATTCAACCAATGTTGTTTCCTCTTTCCATTAATTATGTGCACCAGCTAGACATTTCACACCTGAAACCAACTACACTCCTACTTAACACCAAGTTTTATTTACAGAGTACCGTTAAAACACACTATTTTCTGATTCTGGGAAAATTCTTACACACGACGTAATGATCGATAAACTGATAAATGTTTATGAATAACATTTTGATAATCGCCCATCACTTTTGTAAAAGTGCAATTACACACTCCTACAGCCAGAGGGCATCCTCGAATCTCGAAATCGATTTTCTCCCTTCGCTCCTATACCCTGTTGTTGTTACCATGGCAGCGGGAGAAAGCCATGTCGAAGTTGCACGGAAGCGATTTCAAAACAGCTACATGTTTCTTTGCGGGCATTGGTTAAAGAGGTAACACGAAGGACTAGAATTTAAGAATTCTTATTATAGTCATTATAGGCTAAGATCTGATTGAATTTTCTTAACTGTCATCAAGTATAACTCATTGTTTGTGTCACGTTTTCGAATTGCTTTCGTTCTAGTATAGTACTGTACATGGTAATACATGCAGGCACAGCCTCTATACGAACAGCACCATAGCTGTGGCATTGTGATTGCCTCCCCAGAAGGTTTTCAAAAAACGTTTTTGTACATTTTCAATACGATAAACTCTGAATCGTATTGCCTTAACCGTGATATCTTCTGTATCCGTTACCAGAGTGCTGGAACACGTTATTTAAACCTGGTTAAGTGCACAGTATCGGAGAACATGGGGAAGAAGAAATCTGCATCTGCGGAGGACAAGATGACTTTAGCGGAAGCCTTTATAACCTTTCAGTAAGTCGGCACCAATCTTTGCCAATGTAGTGCTGCGAACTAGTGCTGTAGTGCTTTTCAGAATAAAGTACTTTTTAGCTTTCTAAGCACAAAACATTGTATACATATGGCTCTTACACATTCACATTTTTGAAGAATTACAATACGCAATTTAGTAAGCAATTATGTGTGTTAACGATATATGGATTAAGTACAAAGAACTGTAAGATATTGTTTAAGATTAGGTAACTCGCCACTCGCCCAGTTTAGCAATACTGTTAAACCTACAGGTATCTGGGTGCTGCAGGTAATTGATTTTAAAGTCTTGCAGCTATTATCTGACTTTGCCTATGCTGAGAAGGATATTAACCATTTTCTTTGACCATTTCATCTAATATCTGAAGCAACAGCAGGCTGAAAAATGGACGTATTGTGTTTGCTGCCTTAACAAGAAGCACATCATCTGGTTCATAATGCTGACTGATTGTTGTGGATTTTGTAATCCCAGAAAGATCTTTAAAGCCTAGAATGCCCCCCTTCACTGTGTCCTTCTCAGAGGCATCACTTTGAAAAAAGTTTTTTGCCTATGGTCAAAACCTTGAAGCTGGTACAATAATTAAGGAAACCTTTGTACTAACATCAGTCCTCCTATTTTAAAAACTTGTTTCTGATTTGTTAGTATGCCAGTTTTGTATAGTAATTCACCAAACATTCTCTATAGACATCACAAACGCAGCTGTTCTAGTTTATTATCGTATGTATTGTACAGAAATAGAAGGTGAAAAAACTTTAAAATAGTTCAGTGGTAAAAATCCTCATTTGAAAGATTGTTACTTTCAGGCAAGATCCTTTTAAGTCTTTGCTTTCTTTTTCTAAGAGATATATTTATATTTAACTGGGATATTTAAAACGTAACAATGAAAGTATTCAGTGGGACAGATTTTACAAACATGTAAAGAGTATTAAAGACTCAGAACAGGGGCACGTCTTTGCAAAAACTGTTGTGGGAGTCTGAAACAAGTTACTTATCTCCATCATTGAAGCTAATACTTTGGCTTTCTTCAAGAAACAGCTGGACAACATCCCTGGATCAATTAGCAGCTAAACAAACAAGTGAGCCAAATGGCATCCTCACATTTGCAAACCTTTTTATGTTCTGTTTCAAAGAGTGAAACTTCAACAGAACGCCCTTCCAGACATTCTTAGACCATGACTCTTGTGATCCTGATTGTTTTTTTTTTTCTAGAATCCAAGTAAAAAGAAAGGAAATAGAGGAGTTCCAATCTGAAGTGAGTCAACTGGAGGAAAAGAACCAAAGATACAAAAAACGAGTAAGGGAGGTTTTTTTGGTTTGGCAAGTGGAATTTTCAGACACAGCCTATTGGAATAAATCTTTAACTGCTTTGTTTTTATTAAAAGAAAAATATTAGAAAAACATTAACTTGTGCATGAGAGTCTTCTCTGTTAATGTTCTCCAGGCTGGAGATCACATTTATTTGTTTTCTTCTACCTGAGAATACCTAAAGAAAACTGTGCCGTTATACTGAGGAGCATATCTGTCTAGGTTAAGGAATGTTTGTAATATTATTTCAGCGGGCTATGTGTGTTTGCCTAGAAGGAGCAGCTGAAGGAAGAGCAGATGGGGCACATCCGAACTCTCCTGAAGCAGGCTAAGGAGCAGGAGCGTGATCTGGAGCAGAGAGTGGTGGTGAACAGGGAACAGGTAGACCAGGCACTCCATAAATACTGGGAGCTGGCCAGGAGCAAGGACAGTGAACTGGAAGGTATTCACACAACCTGCATAAGAGTTTTCCTGTCGATCTGTAATGATCAGTTACATTACAGCTCCTCTCTCTTCATTATTGCTTGCAAAATACTTATATGAGTCCCATGTAGTGTTAGTGCTATTAGAGTTAGTCAGTAATCACAACACAAAGTATTTATATGTAAAAGTGGCTTGCTAATAAAAACTCATTTGCGTGCCTTGTCTCCTCCTGTTCTGCTCCCCACTTTTTGTTGATTTCTTTTTAAAAAGTCAGAAGATGTCTAAAGTAGTTACAGTTTCATTGATGCTGATCACATTTCAATGTTGGTCATCTTCATCTAAAGTGGTCCATAGGTACTCAAACAGTCTAGACTATATCCATTAAAAGGGTATCCAACATTAAAAAGACCTGTTGCAATACCCAATTACCTCCCACCTCATTTTATAATGTTACTGGATCCTATAATAGTGTGCTAATTAAATTATATTCATGAAATTTTACAGAAACATTTTGCATTTTTAATTGTCCCTTAAGCCCTGATAATATCATTGAGACGTCTTAACATTAACATTTGTTAATTGGTGGGGTGGTTTTCCCCTTCTTCATATTCTTTTGTTGAATTTGGCTAAGGTGGAAAGACGGTACTTATATCTTAGGGGTTAAGGGTGGACTGTGCTGTATGTGGCAGAGCTACGGGATGAACTCAACACTCTGCAACAGAAAGTCCTGGTTGTGATGAGCGAGAAGCAGTGCTGGCTGGAGTACAAGACAGTGGGAAGCCAGGAGCACAGCCTTCAGATCCAACTGCTAGAGGCAGAACTCACACAAATGCAGAAAGACTTCCAGGAGATGGCAGGTCAGTCTCTCCTTCTTTCAGTTTGAATTTGATTCCCAGTTGCTGTCGCTGTGGGGCTTCATTTCTTTTAAAAAACAATGAGATGTGCTTCGACCCTCACGGATTCCTTCCCACCTCCTGCCTCATGCTGCCTTTTCTGCTTCACGTGAACTTTTTCTGGTTTCAAACGTAAACAAAAAGAGCCCAGACAGACAAAAGTTTGAAAATCGACATCAAGGAAGTGTATCGCTTCAAAGTGGTCAGAAAGTGTTGACACCCATATCCTGGGACACCGAAGATTGTAATTGTTCGCACTTCAGTGAACAGTAGACCATGTAGCAGAAAGGTGAGATGAACAGCACTTACATGTATGCAAAAAAGGTGAGTAAAACAAACCATGCCCTGGAGAATAATTGCCACTTTGCCATTCTGCAGCACGACCATGCACTCATACAGTGAGGGTTACAGTGCAGTCAGGAGCTTGGTTTTAAATGGTGTGACACACCCTACAACAGGATGTGATAAATAAATACATTTATCAAGAGGCAATAAATCAAGAGGCAGGTCTAGGTGAAACAAACACACAAAGCAGCAACAAGCTAAAGAGAAAAGGCTCTTTTATTTACTGTGTTCAGGAACAATACTCAAAAACATACCTAAACAAAACCTAATGTTGAAGCTCTTCTTTGAGCTTCTACCTGACAACAGTCAGGTAGCTAATCTCCTTACAAGCTCCAAAACAAAAGTGTCTGTCTCTGAAACTTTCAACAACTTTTCAATTATTTGCTTGCTTGCTCTGTCAGTCAATCAGATGCTCCACCCTCTGGTGCTATCTGTTTAACAGAAGATCAGCAGTTTGTCTGCAAATAGCAGATAAAATACCAACCTTGGAAGCCCCAACTTCCTGGTTTTTACACAGTCACCCGACCAATTGTTTTATGCCAACCAATCAGGTGACGAGGGTGGCAGGTCATTCCCACCAACCTTATGGGGAATGTAGTTCACCACCTGTTTGGCCTGATAAAGGAGACTCTCATCCACCTATGAATTACATATGGTGGATCATTCATAAGTTCACTTTACTTATTTACCTAACTTTGGACATTAAAAAGTAAATATTATAGCATGAATAGCATTACAAAAATGGGTTTGTTGCAAAACAGCTTGTTACTTTTTTATGTGTTGCTTAGTATTCATATTCCTTCACTGAGGGTTCCCTAGTTTCCCTATTAACAGCACTGCAGATGCCCACGATACAGCACTTGTAGTGTTTGAAAGCTTTTCTAGGAAAATGAAATAAATACAATTCTTTAATCCGTACTATAATCTTCTTTATGATGATTTGGCTCATAGAATAAACTATTTTTCCTCTTGACTTTTCTGAAGGTCATTCTGTATCTGTGTACAACTGATGTACTTAATCTATCATTTGCCTCTGTTATGATTGCTTCATCATTTAAAATATTTTTTTATCTTCATGAGATGCATAATAAAAGATGATCTATTATCATGGTTAGTTTTGTATCAATATTTATTTTAAATTGTAGTATACATTTTTCTAATATGGTTTTATTTATTACTAGACTGCTTGTGGGAATGTGACTTAACTTTCTCTATAACTATTATCTTTTTCAGATCATATCCAACGATCCTTTGATGTGACCATTAATGAAATTGATAAGAAAACAGAGAAGCTAATTAATGAGAAGAAACATCTAGCTTCAGAGGTATTAAATCAGATTCAGCTACTGCTACAGAAATCCTATTGTTACAATAGCCTGGAATGAAATTTTAAGATGCCTTTCACATGTATACAAAGATATTATCTTAAATATAGGCTTTCCCAGCAATTAATGATGCAATATCCTTATCCTAGAAGGCCATAAAACATCTTGACAAATACACCCGGCAGGAAATCAAAGAGAATGAATGGTTGAAAAGAGAGGTATGTGATCTAGCTATCAATATGATCTGAACTTTGATGATATTTTTTATGATATATTGAAGATCATAATTCATACTTATACTGTATATCAATTATCTCTAATATATGTTATTGATATTATTTCTCCAGATTGATGAATCAATTAATATTATCGTTATCAAATTTATTATATAATTTAGCTTACTACCTAGTTGCTAAAATACTCTTTAATGCTTCAGTGGAAGAGTCCTTCAACCTGGTATAAAGAACTTCTAAGAAAGCTACAGGTGGCAGCATGTTAATTTCAGACCGTCCTGTAAAGTTCCAACAATTTTAGTCAAACTGAAAAAATCCAAAATCTTGGAAAGGACTGCACAGAAGATAATGTGATAATTCCTGTTCACAGTCTTCCCCTATTATTTCCTTTTATAGATTGCAATATACAAACAAGAAGTTGCTTTATTGGAGGTCTCTGTTCAGAAACATGAGGAGGAAAATTTGGAACAGATGAACATGCTGTTTCAACACAGACTGGATGACCTCAACATTTCTCGGTAACTGACTTACACTTACTGTAATTAGTACTAGAGTACTTCCTCTGGATAGGGCCAAATCCTGTTTAATTTCTGTCCCTCTTGTAATCATCCACAGACAGGTGTTTCTCACTCAGGTGGCTGGCCTAGGTCTTGCTGACTCTGGGATGCTTGGCGAAGACTTCAAAATAAATAATCTCTCTGATCAAACAGGTAAAACATATATTGGCATTAGAGTGCACAGCCCCAGGAGTTCTTCCAAATGCTCGAATTTTGAAAGAAAAAAATGCTCATTTAATGTAAGCTAAACATATTAAAGGTTATTAGTAAAAAGTTCCCCTACTAGGCTTTCACTTTTCTAGTTTTAAATAAAAAAATGATTTTATCAAAGGTACCATTATCAAAGGTCTAAATGTATCTACTTTTGTGAATTGTAGTTATTAACATATGACAGGTCAATATTAGAATAACAGTTAAGGTCTTAAAAATATTATATAATAATACAAAATAATATTATATTATTATTAATAATATTATATTATAATACAAAATATTAGACAAAACAGTACAATGATGGAGAATTTAGCCACCATCCTGCCTGTTTTACCTCTTAAGAAAAATGTAATACAGGAATATTCAGGATTTTGACCAGAAGAGGGCACTGAATTTATGGTACTGATATGTTTTGAGGATGATATTCTCATTCAAGAGAGGAAAGTAAACTATACTTCTTTCTACTTTGTAATTTCTCATCAACTGCTTCTTTTGGCTTTCCATTAGGCAGTAAATATGTAATATTGGCCAAATAGAATTCTACATTTTTTACACATATTAGGAAGAGATTGCAAAGGTTGTGAGCAATTATCATATCCACACCAGAGCTGTATTAACATACAGTAACTGATGTTTCCAACCACATTGTACAATAAACTGTGGACAGTACAAAATGTGATAGATTAACTCTGACTGTGTTTTATCAAGAATATACAAAATATACAGCTTTAAAAAAATAATTAAGTTTTTAAATATAAGATTGAAAGATCCAACTGTCATCCAATGTACAGTAAGCTATGTTACAAAAAGCTGGGCAGCAAGGTGTAACTAGAAATCTGGTACATAGAGGTTTAAATGATTATGAAATATTCTGTTAAATTACAAAAGAGATTTAAAAAAATATGTTCAGACATTTTTATCTACAGTTAAATGTTACCACTTAGCGGAGATTTAACATGCAATATCTCAGATTCTAAGACTTACTCAGAAACAAAGCACTTCTTTGCACTTACCTGTACATACTTTTTTGAGTTCAAATCCTTATCAGTATAATAGATCATTCAGTCTATTTTAAACAGAGATACTGAACCATCAATGGGAACTTGCATCATATGGGCAGCTCAAGAACGCTGGACCGCATGGGTTAAATCTTTTGCACATTTGTAAAAAATGTGAGCTGATTTAAAAAAGAGCTCCAGTTCTTTGATAAGTGAGGAAGTGCAGGAAAAGTGAGGATTTTTTGTAACGGCATCCATTTCAATAACAAATGGAAGGCAATTTCTATCCTGTGATAAGTATCATGAACCTGGAGTCTGGAGTCATAACAAGGCACACCCTCTATCCAGAGCTTGCTTAAAAAGTAAGAAAGCCATGACATAGCATGGCTACTTTACTGGTGCTTTTGATGCAAACCATTTACATTTGCAGCAGCATATTACATTTGAAATTAAATTAACAGGGTAGAATAAATTGTACTTTTTTAACAGAAAGTCACTCTAATGAGTATATGACCCTGATAGATGGGGGGAGTCGGAACATCATAGAACCCATAGTGGGGATCTCCTTGAAATGGTTTACTGGGGAAGATGTCACAGTCCATAGACAAATATGCACTCAAAGCTAACTTTGTGAAGAATGTTACAATGTATCCTGCCAGTATTTCCTGAGATGCATCATAAACACGGCCGTATTCTCATCTGAGCTGCTTAAATTTTGAACGTTTTCCTCCAGATGCGTCTTCCAGACCTATAAATTCCCTCCTGGCAACAGCGGAAGGAGAGAAGGGTCCTGGCTTGCCCGGAGAGCTGGAAAGGGATGAAACAGTCACCAGCTGCAGCAAGCCAGCTGGCTCGCCAACTGGATCCCCCTCTCAGGATCTCAGAGCCTTACTGTACGGGAGCCAGGTGAATTTTCAAGTAAGGCATTCAGCAACTAAAGCCCATGTTTCCACTTTGTGAGAAAACTCAAACAAAGGGGATACAGATTTAAATGCTCTATTACTGAACAGACCTGGAACTCATATTTTAACAGATTCATCTGATTGCATCTGATGAGTTGTCATAAACCACAAAAATCGTAAACCTACCATGAATGGATCATTTGTAAATGGCCTAACAAAACCAGAACTTTCTGTTTTCAATGTTTTGGCAAAGTACACATACATGCACAAACTGAGTTTTTTAAAGAAATTAATATACAAGTGGAATGTGTAAATGAAAATTATTATGTCTGTCTTCTAAAATAATCAGCAATAGTTTAACCCCCATTTGAATTATATTATGCAGGTAATTATGTGAGGTGTACATTTAAATTTAAACCAGAACAGTCCTGGAAGGAGGAGACAATTTAGACTTTGTGAAGAAAAGAAGTACCCTGTTCATCCACAATAATCACCTTATTGGATGGTCATATTCAGCAACTCAATCTTTCCGTTCAAAAGAGATGATGGATGTGGAATGTCTGACTGTTCTACCCAGCTTTCTTTAATTAGTGAAACAGAAAATATGGGGCTATAGGAAAAAAAAAAACTACAGAGAAACTTTATCATAGCCTGTGGCAAAAAAAAGGAGTTCAAAACAGGAGACAAAGGTTTGCAAAACTGATCCTCCTGGTGCTTCTGAAGAATTACATAATCACATACCCTACTTCTTCAAGAAACTTTTCATTCATGTCACAAGTGTACTACTAGTATTCACAGTACATCAATATAATTTTTCAAAACATTTTTAAGAAGCCATAGGTTAATACATCCAGTGGAACATTTCATAAATATCAATGTACAAACTATGCAAAAAAAAATCACAGGCACTTATGCTGTATTCAGATTTAGTACTGTTGGTGCAGTCAAACCAGGCTGGGCATGTTTCATGAATTGCCTAAGCCTCCAGCATCATCTGTGGAGTTTTGTGTTGTGTTTATAAATAGGTCAGTCACAGCTTAAGGGCACTAAAAGTGTAATATTTAAAACAATCTCTTAAAGTTTTAATACTACCTTTTTCCAATATTAAATATATGTCATATCAATATATTATATAAAGTTCCCTGCAATTTTTATATCCATAAATTAAGGCTAACATTTCATACTAAAAATATAAACTGCTAGACACAGGACTTCTTTTTTTTGCTACATAGACTATTTACAATAGAAAATAATTCTGTAAGACTGTATGAAACCAGAGTCTACTAAAATAGCTTACATGCTGGCAAGAAATTATATTCATATCAAACCATATATGAGACATTAGAATAAAATGGGGTTCAGATGATTAAAATAATACAGTAGATACTATGCTGATTTTATATTTCAAAATGTCATTTAATGGGTGCTCTTCATAGACTGCAAGCAACCTGTGGATATTTCCACTTTACTTTCTTCTATAAAAGTAATGTATAAAAAATAACATAATGGTATTGTTCTAGTGTGATCTGGCAAGGAAACTAATTATTACAGACCTAAATTATTATCTTATTCCAGATAAGCAGCCTGTTTTTGGTAAAGGCTGAACTACAGACTATAATGTATATTAAAAGAAAAACCTATCTCCCTGTGAAAGTGAAAGAAAGCCACCTGGAACTATCCACAGAGCTACTGACGCTTTTCCCTGCCGTCTGTAGGAGTCCATGCAGCTAGGTCCCCTGGAGTTGAAGCTGCTGAGTGTAGTGGGCCAGGCTGTGCCCATTCTTCCTGCCCCTTCCTCCACAAGTCAAGATTGCAACACAGAGGCTTCACAGCAGCAGGTAGATGAGTGGCCTGTAACCCCTAAGATGATTCATGCAAAATTCAAAGACCTTGCCCATGTTTAACTGCTCCCTTTTAGAAATATCCACAATAAACATCCATACAAGACCTTCGTGTGGTAAATTAATGTAGCTCTCTTAAGTCATCACAGAGGATTAGTGTGGTCTCAGTTTTTTCCCCCCTCAAAATTAAAATATTGAATGAAGCTTCTACCACATGTAATGAGAAAAAGTTTGACAAATGATTTGCATTCGTAACACAATCATTTCAAAATGTTTTATGAACGAAAATCTGTTTGCACCCACTTTTCTAAACCTTTAAATTACAAATGAAGCATCTCTTTAGACACACCAGACAATGTAGAGCAGAGGTATGAACAGCTGTCCCAAGAAAACCAGCTGACATGAACAGAAAAATTAAAAGACTGGACTTTTTGTGGAAGCTGCACTTTATTTGAAAATCAACCCATTTCTGCTTACATACATTTTCTTTATAAACAAAAATAGAATCTGCAAGGACAATGCAGCAAATATGCTAAATTAATGAACAGAATTGCCTTCATACTGCAGACTATCCTTCATGCTCCTCAAATGGTAAGATTCTGTTTATATACACAAAGCACCGATCAACAGTGCTCCCCACCTCTGTTCAACTGGATCTCTTTGCTACAAATTTACAAAGAAACTTACTTTCATTGATTTTGTCCTCCTTTTCAATGATGCTAACCAGAAAAAACCTGTACGCTTCTCCTACATCTACTGACAAGTTGAAATTCCTGAATTTCTGGTCATTTGAAAGATGGTCATAGCATGAAGGCAACTCTTCACATTCAGATTGGAAAGGCAGCCATATAATTGTCAATGTAAAATAATGACATGCCAAGCATAAAGCAATACAGATCCTTCCCAATGCAATACTGCTGAATCACAAATGTAGTGCTTTGCTAGTCAGATAAATGTTCCCTTGCAAAATCCTAGGCACAGAATTGACTATGTGGATTAATAAATTGTATATTCCACCCTATGTCCCTTACAAATGTAGGGTTGTGAGATTCTGAGCTACGAAGAATTGTACTACACATAAAACTGTTTTAGAGAATACTTAGTGCTCTATCAGTCAGTTTTACAGGTGTTTTATTATTTTAATATTTTAAACTCAGTCACTCTCAATTATACAATCAACCATACCCATGTATAGTCCTGAATCACTCACAAGGAAGTGTTTGATGTAGTACATTTTTGTTTTTAACGGATAATCATAAATAAATACAAACAATACACGAGGAATGTCTACTCAAATGTAATAGTTATTAAAAAAAATAAAAATAAAACAAAATCATAGTATAACCTGTAGTTAGGATCTCTAATTTGTGACAGTTAAATTAGGTACTGCATGATGATCAGATGAAGTGTTAAATGATTTATATCCCCCACCCCCTTGAAGAAAACATGAAGCTGTATGTTACACCCAAGTATTTTCTTATACATACCAGCAAAGCCTAAATTCCTCCCTTCAAGCACCCACATCTACCTTTTTACAGATGTCATGAAGAATGAGTTATCCCAATGGTTGGGTCGTAACAGCAGCTTAAACTGTTACAATGTTAGACAAATTACAAAAGTTGCGTCAAACCAGAGACGCTCTTTAAACATGGTTTTCTCCAAATCATTAAACCTTTATGTTTCTTCACTCGTCCATATTATGTTGGTATTCTTACTGAAGAATAAAGACAGCAAAATGGATTTTGCTTAAAGGAGAAAGCTTTGCTGCTTCGTGCTCATCTTCAGAAAGCAAGGACTCCCTTTTGATTACATGAACTGCATCTGGCGATTTAAAAAAAAAGATACTGATTAATTTAAAGTTGACTTTACATGTTGATGTGTTTTAATTCTGCAAAGGAAAGACCAAAAATAAAAGGCACAAATTTACTTTTTCTCCAGTGCAGATGCATTTCTGAACTTCTTGTTGGTAACTTAAATGTCATTTCATTGTAGTTTTGTGTTGCAAACTCTACATTGGAGAGCAATGTCTTCAACTTTATTCAGAAGCTATAACTGAAGGGAAAGAATGATGAGACAGCCCTATATGTTGACTAACATCAAGAGTTAAAATTGTTACTGTGTTACACAAAGAATGAAAAGAAGGTGTTGGAATAAAAAATGGTTTGCTGCCTTTTTGGTCTTTTAAGATAGTCAATACATTTTAGTTTGGGAACAATTTATTACCCTTTTGATCAATTTCCTGACTCCTGGTCCCTTATTTAAACATAATAAATGGGCTATTCTTATTTTCATATTTATTGATTACGTCAAAATCCAATAGATCCAAGAACTCCCATGAAGAATACTACACGCCTAAGTATTCGCAACAGAACGTCAGTGAAAGTTTGCTTACATTTGGCTACATGGCTGCTGTATTTCAATCAAGGACTTTTACCACAATGATCATGCAGCACAAACACAGACACATACAGAACATGCTGTACCTAAAAGATGTTCTACAAGAAATCCTTGAGAGAGAGCTCTGCAAAGGGGTCCTTTCCTGGAGCTCTGAGAGGACTTTGACTGGAAGGACTAGAAGCTGCAGAAAGCTAGTTCAGAGAGAATGAGAGACAGTAAAGGAACCGAGGAAAAGCCAGGAAAAATTAAAGAGAAAAACGTTTACAGGTAGAGTGATGATCAAGACAGATCAAGAGCGAAGGTTATACAAGCTTCAACAGTCAATCTGTGATCATTAAGGCTATTTAAAACAGCCCCATTACTGAGCTCTAACAGCTCGTGAAAGAACTGGAAAATGTCATTAGCCACAGAAAAGAAACCCTTCTTCACAATGCAAGACTCTCACTCACTCAGTTTGAATGTATATACTGGTTTGGATGTGGATATACTGAAGAAAATATGATTAATCAGGATATGTATTCCAGACAAAGGTGTTTTACATGACAGCAGAATACATATCCTTCTAAAATGTTTACATGCAAGTCTTTAACTTCGGAACACTGCTGAAATCGTGCATGGATGAAATTGTGGTTATCTTGAACACATTCTGAATACAGCATTTTTACATTCTTAATGAACTAAGAACAGAATTCCACCGTACACAAGATACCATTCCTGACAGGGGTATCCAGAATACTGTCAAAAGTATTCTAGTACCAGTTGTACAGTATGAGATTAGGATATGAATAGTGCAGTGAAACAAGACATTTCGCTCTACTTGAATCTAAACAAACCTCCAACCACCTCAAGAAATTTAGCCTAATAAAATAAGTTTTTGCTTGGAATTTAGCAGTGTTATATACAAGAACTTGCCATGTAAGGAGTGCAATTGGAGTCTTAGACTCGTACAAATGGAAAGATGCAGACAAATCCACACCCTCTCAGACGGCTCCTGACGTCACTTATATTCGCCCCTTGAACATGCATCCAAAATGTTGGTTTCATGAACAGGGGGGAAAAAGTTACAATCGTGCAATATCACTGATGTTTATTTCTTTCTGCAATGGCTTTTTATTCTTTATTACATTTACTTGTAGGCTACAGAGTACACCTGTAAAAATAACGATTGCTTGTTGCTTCCAACGGACAGGCAAATCTTCCATTTAAGAGGACTGTTTAAAAAATAATCATGGACATTAAAGATATTATTTTCAATGTGTATTATATCAGTGTTATTCTTGAAATACTGCTGAAATGCATTTCTTAAAGGCAAACTGTGAGCTGGTCTTGGAGGAGCCAGCTCTGGGGAGGAGCACAGACATACCTGCGTGCCAGGCACGGGGCCAAAGGGATTGGGTGGCCTCATGACAGGCTGAGTATACATCATGGTTGGCTGTGTCATCATGGGCATGACTCCCATCTGTGGAGGCTAACATAAAACAAACACAGGAATCAGCAACACGCAGGTAAGGTCATTAGCCCTGAGATCCGTGCCCTACACAGGGCAGGGATTTTCAGTAGAAATGAAAGACGCAAGCCAAACGCTGGGCAGACAGTCATTTTTTCACTCTAGATTTTGTTTGTTTCTGCAACTAAACCACTAAATAGTAACCCATTTACTAAGACCAGAAGATATATTTCTAGTCTGTAAGCAAAAAGAGGATTAAAAAAAATAGGTGGAACCTAATTTAAGGTCTGAGTGCAGTTTTATGTCATTTGCAAAATATAGGCTTCAGCTACCCTTCTGTGAGTGACTACTCCATTTGTTAGTTAACCACTGTGCTAAAAAGCGGACTGTTCCCAAAACTCATATGGACATCAGCTGTGCACGTCAGTCACTGTGTCATCTGTTTAATGTTTCCGTCGTTTTGGTTTCTTGGACGGGAAGGCCATAGAAAAAAAAAACCCTCAGATGAGGGTTTTTTGTGGGTTTATCCCTCTGCAAATCTGACACATTATTGGGAAAATAATTTCTTTTTCATAATAATGTAATAATTTATGTGGCACTTCCTTAAACTGACAGACATTTTAGATTTTTACCTTATATTGATCACATTCCAAAAGCCATGTAAATAGTCATTTTCTTCACTGCCACCTCAAAGATAATTTTAAAATGTCCTGTCCAAGACCGGGCACTCATATTTTACAAAGGTTGTCAATATTAAATTGCAAACAAATGCATTTACCAGTTAGTGTTATTAATGCAATCTACAGTCAGTTATTGCCCTCCCTTGGGTGTTGCCCTGGTACATACAGTTCACAGAGACATTACTGCTTTTTTCTGTAGCTGTTCTAGTTAAACCAAACAGTTATTTATCATCCTGATCTCAACACAAGGTCAGGGTACAGGAAGTCTGTGAAGTGGGATAAATAATTTGCTTAAAAAGATTCTCCTTAACACGGTGATAAAAATAATGCTGAGGGGAAAAAACAGCAACAAAAATAGATTTTTTTAAGTAGAGAACAATACAAAATAAATTCTGGAACAGCTTCAAAATTCCAAAATGCAGATATTACATAAGTTGGCATTAAGACTCTACACACGTTGTTAGCTAGCCTTTCCTAACTGCGTCTTAGATCTCACCTAAATACAACAAGCTGGCAGCTCTAAGAAAATATCTTGTTATAGATGGGCAGGACCCTATGGTATGATGCGGAATGCCATTTTCTTGAGTGCCACTTTTTGAGATTTAACTGGAATAAGCGCAGTAAGGCCAAGCAGCAAAGTGTCCACTAGAGGCAGGGAAATCCCTTACTTGAGTTCATTTGCTGGCTGTTCATAAACTTTCCAGAGATTAAAAAGTAGACATATAAATCTAAGACCATCCAACAAATCCAATTTAGGCCAGAATGATGTCCTGTGAAAAGCCCCCTCTCAATGCAGTGTGCTCGGGAGCTCTTAAACATACCTACTATACTGGAGAACCTGGCAGGCCTGCGTCACTGTGCAAGATCAAAAGTGTCTTTAATAGTTGCACTTGAAGTGTCACACTGCAGTAGCTAACATTAATTACATTTTTAACAATCGTCCACATAAACACTTACCATTCCATATGCCATCATTCCAGTTGGCGTCGTCGCTGGAAAGGCCATAACGGAAGGTGCCTAAGGTTACAGAATGAGAAGAATTAGACCATTCTTTGTTTTCTGTTGCCAAGACATAAAGCTCAACTGAATAAAATCAGTCATATATAAGACTTGCAATATAACCGTCTAAAACAGTCTATGTAGGTGGTTGACATTATGCACTGTCCTAAACAGCATTTTTTCTCACAGCTTATATGCAATACAAGACTGATGGGAGTTTATATTTTGATCTTCCCGCAAAAGCCTCCAATGACACAGGTAGCCTATAAAAGGTTCCCTTTGTCTTCCCCCCCAGAGCACAGTACACTTTACTTTTTACACTGCATCAGTTCAGTTTCGCTGCCTACTTCCATTTTGGCAAAGCTTATTTCACATCTGGGAGACATTAAGTAAGTCCTTTCTACACTAACCACAGAGGCTGCCCAAAAGCACTTGTGCGAGAATACTGGAAGAAGATTGATGTCTCCAGTACAGGGAAACACAGCCCCAACAGCCAGCTGCAGAGCTGCTATGAAAGGCAGGAAGAGGGGCTCTTTATTGAAGGGCTGTTTGATTACAAAACAGAACCTGGGTTTCTGACAGTCAGAGTTTTGTTTCCGCATTATTATAGCCTATTTAGTTACATGAAAGGCTCTCGTAAAGGAAATCTTTCATTAAGTATTCAGTTGCTTAAGGCTTGCAACAAAAAGTGGCTATGTACATACACCAAATGGTTGCATTTATATGTGCATAGTGCTCACTTGTTTTAAGTTTCAAGTGCCCTTCCTTTGAACTCATTACGTTACTATTCACCAGGGATCCTTTTTTCTTTGCAGTGGCAAAAATACAATAACATAAGAGAATATTTGGTATATAAAAAACTACTTCTCCAAAGAAACATCCTTCCTTATCATTATTTGGAACTTTTTTTTTTGAGGTCCTGATGATCCGAAAACATGAAGTACTCTTTCTACCAAGCTCTGTTTATCCAGGTGCAGTAGCAGCTAGCCAAAGGCCAGTAAAAGCACTTTTAATTCCTTTAGTTAAAAAGTAACTGTGTGCCCTGTATCAAATCTTCAGCCGTTAATGATAGTCTAAGGTCAGTGCTTGTTAGAAAAACATCACAAGGAGCAAATATGATCCATTACTGTGAAATGTTGTATGATCTCTGTAAATAGGCAACTGACTATAAAGGTCAGGGCTCTGACTTCAGTGCAAGATTCTACATTTCAAGGCAGATTGTAAAGGAATACATGTTTAGAAGCAAAGAATAGACTATTTGTCTTAAGTTATCAATGTTGTGCCATATTTGAAATCCGTTCAAAATCGCTTGGGAGGTGAAAACTGCCATTAGCCAGTTTCATGACGGCTTACTAAGATAGTCAAAGAATTGTGACAACTGGATCCTGTGGAACCACCAGTGAAAGATAAAAAACAACACTGCCTTATGTAGGGTTATTGCTATTAGCTAACTAAAATAATGATCATATATTTTATGCCAGGCAGTTTTCTACAGATTTCCTACATGCTAATATGGTATTGACCATAGTGTATTTGCTTTGCTTTTAAAATCTAAATTAAAAAAGCAAAACAAAAATTATAAGACTTTCAAAAACCAGTCATTCAAACTAGAGGGATAGACCAAAACAGTTTAAAAGAACAGAAATGTTTAACAGATGCATTTGATAGACATCTGCTTAGATGTTAGAAGCCCAAGTCTTTTTAAAGACTGATACAGCACTCACAATTTAAAAAAAAGTATCCCCTTACATGGCTACTTATTAAAGAAAAGGTTGCGTATTTTTAAAAGCATGTGAGTATCATGCAAATACAAAGTCTTCTCTTTAATGTTTATCACACACACACACCACACAAGAACACACCCAATCAAAGAGTGACAAACGGAGTCCTGTAATCTCTTGACAGAGTAAAGGCTTGCTCCCCAAACCACAGGCTCAGTCATTTGAGGAGTTTAAAAAAAAACAGGACACATCTTTCATGCCATTTCTGCTATCTGAAAGATCAGCAGGTTACATTAAGGCCTTCTTGAAGCAGGAAAAAGGTCATTTTAGCAAACTGATTAGAGAGCACGTGACAGACGTGTAGAAGTTTCGTGGTTAATACAATGCATGCCAGCTTTAAAGCAGGTAACGGTCAACTTGTTCACTTACGTATTGTGGGAAATGCATGCCATTCTGGTTCCCCCCAGGAGAACAATTACACGATGCAATAAACACCAGGTTAGAGGATGTCATTTCAAACGTACAAAATGAAACAATTTTAGTTCACATTTACGACACCAAAGCATTTCAAGCACCAACCAAAATGTGTCTGGTTGGGAGACCCCCAAGGTCATGGCTTTTTTTAAACACTGAAAGCAGGACAAATAAAACGGCACAAGAAGATGGACCCTTTGAGGAACAACATTTGCTACAAGAGCTGCATTTCTGACGCAAGTTTTTTAGAAACTCAAATTTAAGGATTAACTGTGTAGTATCTGTAAACATACAGTACCATGTCATTAAAACTACTGTTATGCTGATTACTGTAGATACTGGAAATGAAGTTCTGAAATCTCAGTATTAACTTTTTAAGATTTGACAGCACTAATGACAAAACATTACTGGTAAATAGATTTGGTTTTAACTACAATTACTAGTTTTGCAAAAATACAGCCTTACATTCCCCATCCATTCTTCCGATGTACTACTCAATGTTAATGCCTAATGCCAAATGAAACGCTGATTTACACTGACAAAATAAGATGTGTTCTGTTTTGTTCTAGAGATTTTCAGAGGTTTCTATCAACAGAGTTTAGCTCCTTGTCTAAATGTAAATCTTTGCAAACACTGTAATCCACTAGGAGTATCTGGCGGCTAATAACAACAAAACCAGAGAGAGAAGCACGATCACACCTCATTTTCCAAATTAACATGGGCACTAAGTCATCTCATTCTTAAAAATATAACAGCAGAAGACAGTAATAATATTTTGAGAGAGTGAATAACATTTTCTGCAAGTAGCCTCTTCAGTTACATGGTTTCATGAAGCTTAGTTGAGTTTTACCAGTCCACTTACCATCGTGGCAGGGTTCCATGTTGTAGTAGGGGCAATCTTTGGTTGCCAGTTGGTTCCACCTGTCAATTTTTTCTCTCCTGGTTGACTCCAATGAATGTCGCTTGGAAAGTTTAAAAAAAAAAAATTATTCCTATTCCATATAAATACTAATATTACTTAGATTACATTACTAAAAACATAGAGTTTGTATTACAGGAAATGCATGCTCTTACTTTTTCGTTGTGCCGTTTCCAATCCCCAGATCTGGAATAAACGCAATTAAAGGCTTGTAAATTGAAACTCTGGGTTAACATTGAGCTTGCATACAGCATCTGTATTCCTCTAGACGTTACACTTCATGAAATTCAATAGCATGAGTGTGAATACAAAAGGCACTTGCTAGTTCACACAGCACCTGCTGTATGTCTCCTAAATGAAAGCAAAAGGAAAAGCTGAGCTATCTATTAAAAGACTGCTTTTACATGGGAAAATAAAGCACTCTTTATGTCATTCCTCTGCATGGCTAGATGTGTTAGCTTTAACCCTTTGCTGGAATCAGGAAGAAACATTTTTGTGGAGTGACCGTGGATTTTCAACATACCAGTACTAAAATAAATGTAAACTCACAGCTTCAATGTGCTTTTTGTTCCAAGTGGCTGAGTCAAACCTGTAGTTATAGTATTGCAAAAGACGATATACAAGCTTCTGTTTTCACACTTTTTTTTCCAGGAAACAGATGGGACATTCTTGGATTAATTAACTTTTAACTACCAAATGGGTTATAGGGACCAAACAATCTCCTTTCCTGTTCCCGTTCTCTCATTCCGTTCCTTTATGTTCTTATCCCTGTGCAGAGGTTAGGAACGTTATAGTGTGTTGCATGGAACGAATCCCTCAAGTTCGAATGTGCAGGCAAAGAACTGAAATTCTGGGCCTTTTGTCTTGCACTACGACGGCACCCAAAGAGGGTCCACACTAGCACTTAAGCAAGTTTCGAGACAACTAATGCAGGAGGGCAAGTACAGGACAATTCAACACGTACTGCCTACGAGGTTGGCGAGGGAGGAATCCAAATCGTCAGACACCAGTTTTCCAGGCTGCTGCTTGGTAGGAGGCAAAGCCTGATTGGGGCTGGCCACTGTGGGTTTCAGGATACCACCTAAAACATCATCTTAAAGAAAGGGGGGCAAACAAAAGGAAAAGGGAAAGAAAAGAGGGTAAAAGGAAAAGAACGTTTAATGGGGAGATGCAGCTAGTCAGGTCTACCAAAATCAAAGCTGCCCCTGGCAGCTGGAATAGTCTGAAAATCTCAACTCACCCCGTCATGCATGCCATGCAAAGCCAAGGCCCAAAAACATGTTTACCAAAAGATAAAGGAGAAAAAAGGGGAAAAAAATCAATTAAGCAAGATTTTCCAGAGGAAAAACTATTCTTTTATACTTATACTTTAATCGGTACCTCGTTATTTTGTTAAAGTGTTTCTCTCGTCTAATACATGTACAAGAACACAAGAACCCCTATACTGTTCTTCATATTTTTGCACCAGAAAACAGGCACTTAAACTCTAATAGTACAAAATGTACAATTCAACATATAACAAAGCTCATTTGAAGTTGATCATATCTTTTACCAAATGAACTTATTTTTACATTGTGCAACAAAAACGTTGTACTGACGGCCATTTCAGTTTAATGTCAACAGTTCACAGTAGCTTCCATTTTATTATTGCTTGTAGTGGTTTGTGCTCTTGAACTACATTTTCCTTTTCTGTTGTTAGCAATATATATTGAATTCCATCTGAAGATACTTTATACTCCATGCTGGCATTTAACCGACTAGTCTAACTGAAAAGGCAAACAGCAGAAAGAATGAAAAGGAGATACTGCAGTCTGTCTGGGGTCATTTCACAGAGTTACTGTGTGCAAGAAGGAAGTATCTCTGAATGCTCCTCTCACAGCTCAAGCATGGTAAATGAAAACTCTTTGGACTTGGGTTAGGTGTGCTCTTCTAAGCAGTGGAATTTAAGCATGGGACCTAAGCACACTGCTGGAGGAAAAGGCACAAAGATATACTTAAATCACAGTTCCCAAACAGTTGTCCGTTAAACGGAGTTGCAAAACATTCAGATTCAGAACTCTAAGCATTTATTGAAAAACATCCACTGAAGTTTCAAGGCAGATGGGTTAAAGACCATTAAAAACTAACTAGTAAGAAGGATCAAAATTAACAGTAGTTCACCACTGAAGTATAAAACAGGTTAAGAGAGTGTGACTGGTAAGACTGCCAGGTAGAAATGTAAAAAAACGAGCAGCGCAGGTGAAGTTGTCCCACTTGGGAACACAACACCCAGGCTTCCGAAACATTAGTTTTCCCGAAAACATGGGAAAAGCAAACGGAATAAACATCACAAAAAAATCAGTCTCATTAGCTTTATGTCTAAAAAGATGTGGACTGATATTACTCAATAGGAATCTGAAATGACTGTACACAAAAAGATGTGTACCCCTTAAAACAACCAAGCCCTTGAATAGTTCCAATCCAAAACTGATAGCAAAAATTGAATGCGGGTTTTCCATTTACATTACAGTTTTACCACCAACATTCATTCTAGTAGGACCATGAAAGAGTTTAGATGACCGTGAAAGCATTCTGAAACAGTGAGGTTGGTTACACACAGGAGTCATCTCAAAAATGCTGTTTCTTTGCACACATCAAAAATACAATCATGCAGATCACAAATTCTCAGCTCTACTACCAAAGTATACCCTTTGTTCACTCAATGTACTGTATAACTACACTAAAATCACCAAACTGATTTGTTAGATTTTTTCTTTTCCAAAGAACATTTTAACATCCAATAGATTTACCTCTCCTCACAGTTCAAATAAAAAATACTTGTGAGCAAAGGGTGATACACCATGATTTGTCCATGAAGATATACATTAGCATCAACACAAAGTCTTACCAGCAGAATCCAGGTTATTAGCAGAAGATGATTTATTGCCAAACACAGAGTCAAAGTCAACGTTAAGGCCTCTTGAGGTCTGTGGTTGAGAAGCTGGAGACGCAGTGAACCCTTCAAAACAGGATGACAGAAAATGTCAGGTCAGTCTAACAGCTGCTAATGTTCGAAGTATCAGGGAAACAGCTTTTTAATGGTGAAATCAAAAGCACAACCCTTGACCTTTTGTAAATAAGGTACATCTGCCTATCCAAAAGGCAGTTTCGCTGCAATTGTTTCACGTTGATGAAATGTGTTCGTTCAAATATATTGCAAATACAAGCAGAAAGCACAGAATTTCTAAACCACCAGCATCTCAGACAATAAAAACTGGGGGAACTGGGACAAACTAAGAAGAGTCATCCAATGTATGGAAAGACATTTCTACATTTTATTGAGTACATGACAGATCTGACAATCCCAAATATGAATGAAGAATAAAGAAATACTAAACTCTATACTGTAAAATCAGGATATTAATTAACCTATAAAAGTCACATAGGAGTTGGAAAGGTTATTCATAACTTTTTTCTTTTCACCAGTAGTAATTATTGTCCTTAAAACTGTTTAAAAAACAAGCTTCTCATCTACCAAATGGGCTAGCTTGGCCTCTCACTACAAACATTACAAATGTTCCATATAATTCCACATAATGTCTGAAAAACTAAAAGCAATTTTCTCCATTGAAAAAGATACGTTAACAATGACCACCTATAAGCACTAGTTAATAAAATTGCACAACTGTGCAGTCCTAACCCATGTCAAGTTAGTTTAGCCCTGTACTTATTTAGTCCTATTTGGTACTAACCAGCTACAGACAGAAGGTTTAATAAAGCATGTCAAGGTTCATTTGTACTGTTCCCTAGAGGTCCAGCTATTTCAAAATCACAGCAGTTTATTTACTTAAACATTCCAAACAACTAACCCTATTTTTTTTACTTTAAACAATTTCTTCCTTTTGCATGCTTGCGCATGTTTCCCTTCTGCTGATTCAATTGCACAGGACACTCTGTAGTAATTTAACAAGAAGTGTAGTATGTAATACCACCACACACACCTCAATGTTACATTCAAAAGAGGCCGAAGTACACTACACTAAATCTAGAAATCCAGTTTCACAAATGTCAATATCAGACTTTAATCCAACAGACTGTTAAGAGTACGTTCAGAAACACTTCCCAATACCAGGGAGAAAATATGCGCTCCTTCCACATCTCTTATTGTAAAGATGGTGCATATTTAAAGCACTCCCATCTGAAAATGTATTTCTGACAACAAAAAAAAGTCAATCTGTTAAAAACTGTCCTGAACAGTGAGGTAAACACTGTCAACAGTGAGACAGGATGTGCCAGTAAGAATTTAATATACAATTCCCCATAAACATTTTTTTACAGTCTGCGTTCCTGGTTGTGAATAAAGTAATTTTAAAACATTTGAGCACTGTCAAATGAAAGAGTAACAAATATTTATGTGCAGATGGGAACACTACTTTTCCCCCCATTAATCATATTCTACAATTATCACATACACAGGTTACAAATTATCTGTGGATTACTTGGGGGATAACAGTTTGCAACAGCTTTTCACATTTTTACTATCAGCAGTTTATCGATGCCTGAAAGTCATGGCAGCACTCAAAGAAGCCAACATTAATTACCTGAACCATTAAGTATGTTCAAAGCTTTTTTCCCCCAATAAGGCTAGCATACTTTGTAAGGTACACCCTGCTTCTACAAAACTTCAATCTACAAATCCACGCTTCAATAGTAGCCAGCGTTTAAAAATGTGCCGCACAAAAACATTTTGCAGAAAAGGTGTGTTGTCTTTACCGACAAGGAGATGATAGATTTGGGTTGGAGGGACTGAACAAAAGAGGAGAAACAACGACAGCTACCTACCTCCAAATAGACCCGCTACTGTGGAGGGCTCAGTGTGGAAGAGGGGAGCATTAGGGTAAGATGGACCACAGAAGGAATCTGACAGGCACAATTTAGGCATGAAAAGAGCAGCAAGAAAAAAAACAGGTTTAGAGAATGATGCAAAGAGCAAAACATAAAAGCTCAGAAATCAACAGCAAAACGAATGTAGGTTTTCACAACAACAAAGATAGAACAACATAATAAAAGTACAAAACACAAACAGGTAACTACAGTACAATGTTAGTATGTACTACAGAGCACCTAGGGGAAAAGGAGAGCTATTACATTTTGTAGTCTCCACAAGTGAACCTGGCAAAGGTTCAGATGCCTATGTTTTCAGTTAGAAGAAAACATAGGTGCAATGGTTCACAATTAAAGTACCTGAGATAAACTGCTCTATCCGAAATGTGTGTTCATAATTGGTTGCAACTGAAGAGCTTGAGTCAATAAATGGATTGAAACGATCTAGAGAATCAGAAATATTAATATTCAGGAATAAACATGGTCTACTTCCAAGTTTACAGAAATGTCTAAAAAATAAATTAGAACACAGTTCTATGCATACTGACAGACAGCATATGAATACATTAAACAAGTAGTAAGAGTATCTTTATTAAGACTTCCAACAGCTGGAGACAGTAACAAGAGCATTTGTCAAATTTGTTGAATTATTAGAATACATGAGCAATTTAAATAAAAATAGTTTGGGATTTCTTCCTGTCTCATTCTGAAATCCAGCATTTGAAAGGCAGAAGTACTCACTACCCCACCTCATACTGTTCACGTCCTGAAGAGGTTCTTAAAACGCCCATTCAACCCAACAAACCCAGACCATGTCTCCTCCGTCCCCACAGAATAAAACCGAAACAGCTCCACCCCCACTGACAGCTTTAGAAAATTGAGGACTACTGTCTATGAGCTAAAGAGCAGAGGGCTTTAGAATGGATTTCCCACCACTTTGTTGCCAAGCAAGATACCAGAAAACCAAAAAAGCATTGCCTTCACAGTGGGATTTCTCTAAATGAATCAACAAACCAAAGACCTTCAGACTCATAACTAGAATGCTTAACATTTTTTCTCCATTTCTTTATTTTTCTTAAGGAAACTAAATGAATTGTACTTCTGCACAGGGCCACCACAAGGAAGATATCCCTTTTATGCTAATATCATGAAAAATCATTCTAAATGGAGCTTGAAGCTTTGAAAATGAGAATCTGACTTTTTTAAAACATGATAAAACCCCTCCACAAAACAACAGGTTGAATGATCCAACAATAAGCGCAATGCAGCAAACACACCTTACACGGGCAGGAAAAACTACTGACATTGTTCCGCAGTGTGGAACAGCCGAACAAGAAAAAAACTGACACCGCAGGAGAACAAAGAGTAAGAGAAAAAAAAAGTATCACCAGAACGAAGAGTAAGAGAACAAAAAAAGGTATTTTACCACCAAACATTTCATGACTGGGTGTCCTAGAAGAAAAACTAACAGCGTCTGAAGACACAACAGGTAGATGGACAGCATCGACAACAGGTTTTGTAAGGAAAGGGTTTAAGTTTGGAATGGAGTCATCAACAGCTTCAGTAGAAGTAAAAGGATCTAGGCAGGCAAAGGAAAGAAAAAAAGAGAACAGGCAAATGTTAGAAGAGGAGAGGTGACGAGAAAGACAAAAGAACACTGAAAGAACTCAGGATGTGTGCTTAAAACAGGCATGCAGAGAGAACAGATACAAGAAAAACTAACTGTATTAGGGGCTTTTAAAGATAAATCTGGATTGTTGTTCACATACTGAAACTGATTTCAATGAAATCCATCCTAAACCTGAAAATTAAGAAACTTGTGTTTTTGATATTTGAAAGTTTTTGCAGTTTCAACACTATGTGGCTGCTACCCAGGAAATTACACAACTGAAAATGGGAAGAGAAATAAAAGCATATGCACTTCTATCATGTGCAAACCAGGCTTCTTTTTGAAGGTTATGTTCAAGAGATTTTTTTACCCATCGTTTTACAATTTTTCAGATGAACTAGAAGGAGAAAATTTTCTTTACATAATTTCTGAAGAGCAAAGTAAGAACTTGCTTAAATCTATTAAAAATAATGTATAGAGAAAAAAAAACTTTGTACTCCCCAAGATTTCTTTTGAAGAGTATTCATCCAATGCTTTTAAAAAGACTTACCTTTTAAAGAGCTGGAATTTTACCAAATGAAATTCACTTTAGCAATCACGTTTCTAGTCCCCTTTACAAGACCTATAATTGTGTGCACAGCTCTGTAACAGACTAAACAGTAGCGATTCACTTATTGGAATTGTTTAACACTGGCCTCCAAAACAGAAGGGAGAGAAATGTTTTTGAAACTAGGAGCAAATTCAAAATTGCTTCTGTTTTCTCACAAGTTGCTCACTTACAACAGCTGTCTCCCAGGAATCAGTGCGTAGGAATTGACAATAATGATATCAAAAAGCGATGATTTTCAGTTCTGTATTATATTGTTTTTTTTTTATGGTGTTTAAGATGAATGCAAGGAATTCATAACATTTTAAGAAGATCTCCAAGATGTAAAGTATAACTTCATCACTGCTTAAAATTAAGACAGGTGTGTTCCATTAGGAGATGAGAAGTTCTCTGGTATATCATCTCCACAAAAGAACACCATTTCCTGTGTCATTCACTAAAACAGGTCCGCTCAAAAAAATTAAGTACAATGACACTAGAAGGTCAACATCTATCTTATACTTACTTGTCTTAGACTACATGAAACTTTCCAAAAGCAATTCATTATTATTACAATAATGCTATTAAATGAAATAGACCCAACTATATGACTGCGAGCTCAGGTGGAACTAAAACGAGAGGATGCTACACACAATAGGAATAGTATTCTAGAACCCTGTGATATTATTCAACTGAATCAAACTGTTATCATCAGTATTTGCCAAGTGACTTCTACAAGGTCTACCTACAGTATATAATGCTAGGCACTGCAGGCACCAGTGATAAAAATGTTTATTTAAACCACCCTTCCCTATCTCTAGCAGAAAGCATAAACTAGAAAGCCTTAAGAGACTGACTAGTGGACAGGCTGCTACACCATCTCTTATTTATCAATATGACTACTCTCTAAATAGGGAATCTAGGATTAACCTAGTGATAACCAGAACATATCTGAGTTTGGAACAAAACCAATGAATTATTAGGTGGATTTTCCTCATCCAAATTTCCTAAAAAGAGCAGTACTGTGATTCTGTAACTCAACACAAAGCAGTGCGTGCCTGCCACAATTTTAAATATTTTAACTGTCATGCAATTAAAATCAATGTTCCGATTCACTTGCCAAAGATATTTTTCAGCTAGAAACATTCACACATGTCACTGCCTGTGACATGTGTGAATGCATAGAGCAGAGATGTGCCTACATAGCACTTGATTGGGTTTAAAGACATTTGTATTATTAAATACAGTTCCATGTTACTTGTTTCAGGGCCTTCCTAAGAGATATGGACAGAATCCAATCTGTGGCTATCATGTAAATGAGAACCATGGGCCCTATACTTAAAACACTTAGGAGCTTAAGGAAACAAGTGCTTGAATTTAGGGCCCCATGTCTTTCTTTAAGAATTGCTTGTATAACTAAATCAGCCAGATCTTCCACACAATTACACTCTGTCCAAGCTACGTACCTCCCCATGTGTTAGCTGTAGGCAGTGCAGTGGAGATGGGATGCATTGATGGTTGAAATGTTGGTTGCAAGTCGAGCAAATCATTCGGCACCTTTGATGTGCTGAGGAGACAAATCGGAGCAGCTGATTATCCGCTCAAAACGTAAGCATCAAGAAATATTTTTTTTTCTTCACAGCCCATGGCCACACAAAGGTTAAACACAAATATTTAAACACAGAAGATAAATGTGGCAAAATTCGAAATACTAGTGTACAAGAATGGTTCGGAGCCGAATTTCACAGGCAATACCTTCATTGCTGCCAGCACCAGACCCGTGGAAGCCCAGACGTTAAGTATATCGAAGCTTCTGCATTTTTTTCTCCGTAGTTACACAAATGTAACGGCTGCCACTATCGATAATGTCGTGTAATTTTTACCTTAGTTGTCAGCTGATTTGCAGACGTTATGAGATTTCTGTGGAAAAGGAATAGTTTCATAGAATCCAACCTTACTGATGCAGATTATACAGAGTACCAGGTGAAAACTAAAGAGTCTCATACACTGTGCAACTTCGTTTTTTTCCCTTTATGCAGTAACACCACCCCCCTAGGGGTGCTGGAACCCATTGTCTACAGTGCAGACCTGTTCGTGGAGCTAGGTGTGGAGAAGAGGTCAATGGCGGGCGCTGTGCTGATGCTCCCTCCGGTGGTGGAGACTGGGGACGCGGCGGTGGTAGCAGAGGACGGAGGCTTCTTGGACAGCTCCTTGAGCCGCTGTTCCTAGGTAGAAGCGGCTAAAAATTAACTTCCAGACAGAACTCTCAATGTCGCCCTGCATTGCATGCAATCTGAGATGAATACATTCTGTTACAGGACTGTGGAACGGAAAAACTGCATCTTAAAAGAAGTGGACTTTTTGTTTTTCATGTGGTTGGCAGTCGGTGGCGTCATTGAAATGATAACATTCCACACCCAGACCATTTCCTTCAGCATTTCAGGAAATTTATCAACAAACTCAGTACAGATCACTTAAACTCTGACTTAAAATTTATCTGATGGAACCACACTTATTCCTGAACATTTCTGTGAAAGACTGATTATCCCAAATCCTTACATGGGAATGGAAATGAAGGAAGAACTGGAAAAAACACTCTTAGATTCTGAGATCCAGTTTTATCAGGACACACAGGTGGCACAGGCTGCCGGTGCTGAGGGTTAATGTACTCAAGTACAGCAGTTTATTTGGATCCAATTACAGACAGTCCAGTTACGAAAAATATGCAAGTGATAAGACAAACTCAGTTCCTTTCACAAAATAAATTATCAGAAAGGAAGCTGAGCTGGAAATCGCACATCCTGTGGCTGAATAAATAAGAGAGAAAAAAAAAAGCTAACTAGACATTCTGAAAGCCAATCCAGAGCATAAATTAAAGAAAAAAAGAGTACCTTCAATGCTTTTAAGCGAGCCTGCTCTTCCTCCAGAGCTGCTTGTTTTTCCCTTTCGTCCACTTTGGTGAAAGATATGCCAGTATTTGCAAGTGATGAGACAGCATTTGAGAGAGTGCTGGCCCTGGGAACGCCAGGAAGGAAGACACAGGAGTTCAACACACAACAATAGAGCGTGCCGCACACAAAGTGCTTCGCTGGCGTTTCTGAACTTACATAAGCTTGATCACATTTTCAACATGGGGAAAACAGGACTTTTGATATTCAGGAAAAATTAATTTGCACCAGACTCTTCTATAGTTCTTCAAAAATACCTGGCTTTGAGGGGCTCATGGTCGAAATGTGAAGCTTAGGCACTCATTGTTGCTGCATGACTATCTTTGGGACCTTTAGGTAAAAACATGTGGGGGAGAATCACTGAAAGACGGATGTTTTGAATTGTATATTACTGCCTTAGGGAAAATAAAGTTTTAAAAAACTCCTCTATAGCCACGGCTTTTAAAACAAACCATATGCTGTCTACTTCAAAAGTAGGCAGCACTTAAAGTTCCCTGTACACCTATGAATATAATATTGCGTACCTTGTCAGAATCCCAAATGATTTAATAGAATTTAATTGACCATTTTCAGATTTTGGTCAAGTTTAGCTGCCCCTTTCGCTTTTAAGTGTTCAAAAGAATTGGCAAAGTTATGAAATAAATGTAGAAAAATGCCTTCTGCCCAAAAATACTAAAGATCTGAAAATGGCACGATAACTGCTTGAAGGGCAATTCACTTACGTATACAAAAAAACACAAGAAAATCGAGAAAATGTAAAAGGTTATGAATTTAGTGTTTTGACAGCGCTTCAATGCATCTTTTATTGCCAGTAGCTCAGGCAGTCTGATCAGATAAGAGAAATGTTCTATACTTTACATTCTCAAAAGCTGCTTTTATAAAAGGCAAATATTCGTTCATCCCTTTCTACACCTATTGTTGCACACCAACAACTGCACCTCCAGCGACTCTTCTGTCAAGCAAATTAAGTCTGCGGATGACATCACCCTAATAATGATGATATGGTAAAAAAGTGCATACAGTATGTACAGGAGGGAAGCAAGTTGGTTGGTATTATGGTGTGCTAACAACCACCTAGAGCTTAATACCCTGAAAATGGTGGAATTCATGGTTGATTTCCGATTTCTTGATAGGCAATGGTGTGGCTGTGAATGAGGTGGAGTCCTTTAAATTCTGGGGAATTATAATCTCTAATACTCTTAAACAGGACATGAATATGACCAGTATCACAAAGGAAGCCCAGCAGAAAATGTGCTTCATGCGCCTACTAAAACACTTTGGTGTCTCACAACCAATTTGAATGCAGTTTTACAGAGCCATTATTGAGATCATTCTGACTGCTTCTTTAACTGTTTGATTTGGCAAATCTGCCCACTTCAAAGACAAACTGCAGTGTGTTCTTTGCTCTGCTGAGAGGGTCATTGGTTTGTCATCTGCAATCCATTGATGAACTGTGCAGCTCCAGACTAAAGAAACAGGCTGGAAAGACTGCTACTGACCCCTCTCACCCATGTGTTTCATAAACTTCCCTCAGGAAGACGCTACTGGTCTATTACAACCAGGACCCCCTGGTACCTGACCAGTTTCTATCCCAGGGCTGTCTTTTTACTTTTGACTAGTGTCTTGTTTGTGCATGGTAATGTATATGTAGAATGTTTCTGCAGCACCAAGTACACCAGAGTCAATTCCTAGTAAATGAAATGTTTGTGGTGATTAAAGGTGATTCTGATTCTGTACCCTCTTGCTTGGTGCAAATATCAGAATTTATTTTTTGTATTTAGCATTTCTCAGAAAAAAAAAAGAAATACAAATCTCAGACTAAAAACAGCTGGTTATCAGAAGGAAAATGTCTTGCCCAGGTACCTTTACAGCATGAGCCTCAGGAGTTTTTCCATTTTTAACTCGCAATTCATGCAAAAAAGGCTTGACCTCTGAACAATATCCATCTCTTTGGGAAAAAAACAAGCCACATCTGAAGGCAGAACACAGTTGTAACAGAACAAAGTAAAACTTGCCTGCTTGCTGCTGTTGAATCTTTGACTTTCTTCCCCTCTAAGGAAGCCAAGTGTTGCTCCAAAGCATCAAGGAGACTGCTGGGGGCCTAGGACAATTGGAACAATTCTTCAGTTGTCAGCAAAAAATAATAAACTAAATTAATAAAAACATGCAGTATTTTAAATTTAAATACCAATCAAGCAATAGCAAAACATATACATATAAAAAGAGTGAGATGCAGATACTTACACATACTGTAAACTGAAAATGGAAAGATAGGGAAGATACAGAATATAAAGGTGGTAATGGTAAGATATAGAAAATATTAGCATTCAGTCAGTTTTGTATATTATTCAAGTGAACATATTAACTCAACGCTGCTACTGAAATAAGCATCATTACATACTAATTGCTTGCGAGCAAAAAAAAAACTGTTTCCTCTTACAAAACTGCAACATGTAAAAGTAGTCATTATCACATGGATAAACCTTTACAACCCTTACTGAAAGTCCCTCAAGTATCAGCCATGTGTCTCAGCAGATATTGCTGAGTACTTTTACGAGCTCATCTGAGCACCCAGAAAAACTCCCAGCTTGAGTCACATGTCACCAACATGAATATGGCCATTACAGGAAGCTACAGTATACCACTGCACTGTAACACACATTTGCCTACATAAGAAGATGAGTGATTACCCTCTCAGCCTGCTGATGCTGTGGTGAACACAAAGAGCACGTCCAGCCCTCTGGCCTTTTGAAGGTGGCCTGGTATTTGGGCGCACCTGAACCCAGACTTTTCTATATTCCTAGGTTCTGATGTTCCTTTAATTTAGTGCCCAATACAGATGGCCTAACAAATACCACAGTGACCTGAGTTATCACCTTTATTTGCTGTATTTCAAGTCAAGAAAAGGAGGTAAAAGATTTCCCTATCAGCTACATGCACTGGAAGCATTCATGCACTTGGCAGTGCCTAATCTGAAGAAAGTTTGTGCAAGAGTTAGTGCCAGATAGCATTAAAGACTGGAAAGGTGGCAAGTGAGCTCAACTATACACAAGGATAGGTGATACTGATTAGCTTCAAACTAAAAAGAAGTCAAGCTAGAAGAGCAGAGATTTTCAGGCTATCCTGCACTAGAAAGCAGCACTGCCTTCTTACCTGAGACAGGTCTGGTATGTCTCCCCTGTCAATCCCAACTTGCTGTTGAAATAAAAGTGGAGCCATTTAGAGTCTTGACAAACTGCGCTTGAATTTTAACTCCCAAATAGGCACAACCCCATCACATCTTACTTCGGCGACTTTGAGGAATTCCGAGATCCTGGTCATTCGAGTGAGGAATTTCTTGTAGATGTCGAGCCCCTCCTTGCACTGGTTTTTTTTCATGTCAAAGTACTTCTCTGTAATTTGAAACAGGAATGGGAATAAGAACACTTCTCAAATGTGTTCCGTGTGCTATCATACCTGTTATTAGGTGCTACTTTAAAACAGACAAAATACAAAGTGCTAGGTGGTTTACATTCTATTGTATTCATTCCATGTTCTATACAACCAATGTTATTGTTTCTGTCAGCTCCACAGGCTTCGTTTACAGTACAGTCCACCTGTACTGGGAGCTACTGAGGTTTTCAAAAAGCTCTCATGTAGTGGTGGGGGGAGCAATATTAAACTACATGTCTTTTCATCAACAATACTTATCACCTTACTAAAAGGAGTCAGAGTTTGAAGAAAATATATTTCTGGAACAAAGTACACATTTGACATTTTAAATTAGATTGTGACGTTAAAATAAACATTTGATAGTGACTGCAAACCAACACTAAACCAGTTTTATGAAGTGTAATTTAGCCATTTTTGTGTTTGCCGCATAATCCAAAATTCTTCCAATCGACCTTTTCTCTGGAAGAGTTTGTACCCCCTCAGTAATAGTCATGCTGCATGCAGACAAGGAGTCACATCAACATGTCAGCTCCACACAAGCATGCTCTCATTTTCATAGATTAAACAGATGTCTGCCTCTCTAACCATAAACAGGAAACAGAGTTAAGTTGCACAAAATATGACTGGCAACCACCCAATATTTCCATCCCATTTGTTCTTCTCCCTATAGCCCTCCAAACGATCTCTGAGATTGCAGTTTTCATCTGCTACACAAGAGATTGATTTAACTGAACTATTGGAGCAGTCACAGTTAGGAAGCTCCTGAATTCGAATAATCATTACATTTCAAAGACTAAAAGGGCATAAGGCAGGGAAGTGAGAATACCAAGTGTGTTCACCTACAGCTTTGTTATATACTCTGTGGGACGCCCAGCGATTGGCAGGAAAACAAATTCCCATTGACAGAGCTTGTACAGTACACCTGACCTTGAAAATTGACAAGGACTGTCTTTCTTTACCTTCACTCTTCAGGCATGTTTCAGAACTCGACCAACAGCCCCGTTTCCCATATTTCCAATAAAAATATGCCGAAAAATGAGAACAGTGGTATCACAGAGGGTAAAAATGCACTACCACAAAGATGGTAACAAATTCATCTAAATGTAAAAATAAATTCTTATGTTGACGTGAAAATAGATACTACTACAATTATATTCAGACTGCAGCCCCCTCCTTCTTGGGAAATCTGAATTGCAATGGTGGAATGTGAATGATGACATTTCCAAGAAGGAAAACTGCTTCTCAGTACTCTGTACCTATCTGCAAACATAAACAACAGCAACCTTTCTGATAAGGGGGTGCCATGTCAAAATGAAGTGTGGATACAGTGCCATTGGTAACTACAGAGGCCTGCTATTATCTCAGAACACCAGCCTAAGGAGCAAAGGTTTATGTGCACAGGCAATAAACAAATGTTGAAACAATGATTAAAGGCAACTGCCAACATCGGTGTCCTCTGATCAGTCTCTCCTGCACAGCAACAGAACAATAGCCTGAATCACAAATAAAGTAGATCAGGAGAAACAAGGATACAGTTACCCAAATTGGATTAATAGAAAGAGTACTTATTCAACAACATTTTACTTCCAGATATATACGTCTATTTAGTGTGTATAGTACCACGATTTAGAATTTCATCGCTGTTTTCAGGTAGATTTTCTTCGCCAACTACAGAAACGTATAATACAATGGGTCAGAACCAGACCTAATCAACCCCAGTACTTGAAGTATATAATCTTTTTTTTTCTGGCAGGTCTCCTTAAATTACCATCCAAACCCGGAAAAGGATAAACTGGCCTAGTTTAGCAATGAAAGCAAGGTCATTTAATCCTTGAGACCCTGAGGTCTTGAGCATCAGAGCTGGGGAGCTGTTGGGCTCCAATTGAAAAACAGAAATTGTTTTTTAAACCAACTTCACAAAGAGAAAAGTGATTCAGAGGGAAAACGTAAAAGCTCACATTCAAGCGGGGAGGGAGACTGCTGGGATGGAAGCACATTATGTTTGGTTCCAGGAAATGAACACCAACTTCTATGGGTAAACTCAAATTGCTTACCGAGCAGGTTGATAATTCCTTCGTTGTAAGCTGCAAACAGTCTGATTGCATCTTTGAACAGAAGCATGAAGGCCGCGTTGATGACTCCATTTGTTAGTTCATTGGCATTGACCTGTGGAAAACCCACATTGATCTTAGCAGCACTATAAGCTATTCCATTACCACAGACACGTCCCCCAAGTGTTAAACTTCACAAAAAGCATCCAAATACACACCCAGGCATATCAAAGTTACTTAGATCGCAGAGGGGCATATCTTTCAAAACGTGATCACGAATCACCAGTGATTGTTGTAAGAAAAGCCACATAAAAAGAGGTGAATAACATAATTCTGCAACTTTTTACGTGATCTGTGCTAGTGAGTACAGTGCATTAATTTGTGGGTTCTAATGTCTAGGGACAACATTAAACCTATACACTTAAATACATTTTAATTTGAATAAAATACACACTGTGCTGTGAATTAAAACTATGCTAAGAGAAGGTAGTGAACTCTGTCATCTTGCCAAAAAAGACCGTACTTAATGAGAACTCACATTGAAATCAAGGAGTGCATCCATTTGATTTTGGATTATGGGTATGGTTTTCAAAAGCTTTTCTGTGTTCATAGTTCTCATCACTCCATCAGCACTGCAGGAAAAAAAATCCAGAAACAATAAATATAAATGTAGTACTTGCTTAAAATTCCAACAGAAAATTACTATCAACAGAAAACAGCACCTGTAAGGCTACAGGCCAGCAAGAAGAAACTGATGAGCAGTAACAGACTGCTTTTTCTGGAAGATCAGTATGTTAAAATGCCATTTGGTGTCATACTTTACAAATAAACCCCCGTTCCAAAATAGAAGTTAACTCATTGCCTTTTTAAGAACCACATCTGTTGAAAGTGAAAATGATTTTCAATTAAAAATTTACCACTGCAAACATCAATATTTTAAGTTTTGGGAGGAGACATAAAAATCTGTAACCTCTAACAAGGTCTTACATCTTTTCATTTTTATTCAGTGGCATCTAAAACCTCGGAGAGCAAACAAAATACCACTACAATTTAAATACTAGTATTGTAAAAAAAAAAGAAACTAAAGAAATATCAATTAGAGTCTCTTTATAAGCACTATAGGATAAAATATCTTACCCTCTTTTAACTTTTGTGAAGTCAAAAGCAACTTGTCTGTAGGAAACTGCCTTTTCATTCAGGTAGCGGCTATACCGCCTTATAAATGTTGACATGTCATACCCTTAAAAAAAAAAAAAGAGGTGAAAAAAAGTTAGAATTACAACAGATCTTTTACACCACCGCAGGGGAAGGAATTCATAATGCGCAAGGGTAATATACAGATTTCTTTAAGCTTTTAAAATAAAGCTTTGTTCCACTTCTGTAAAACTACTAAGTCCGTTTCTATCCCAATGATCTGTTTCTTGTAATGTACTGGGCAGAAGTTACGGACAAGGGTTTGCAAAAGCATGTGAAGAGCTGTGCTTCTCAAAATTCAGGTAATTATTGGGAAATAGTATGAAACTAGCATTGCCAAGCTGCTCTGTGCAACTACAGCTCATACAACATACTGTATCACACTGATCTCTGATTCCCCTTACTGTCTCATTCACATCTGCTACAGTTCTCTTCTATTTACGTAAAACTCCCACGATGCCCAGGAAGAAGCCAAACTTTATTTGTTGAACAGCACAGCCCCATACTCAACGAGTCCAGGAAACGGGCCAAAAGGCAGCTTCGAATTTCTGGGTTCTGCTACAGATAAGGGTTAGCCACAACTCAAGCCCACCGTACTCACTAACACTTAACAGTCTAAAGATTTTCAGTGAGGGGAAATGCTGCAATTGGAAAATGAATCCTTTCTCAACACGTCTCGGGGAGTCTTTCAAAACAAAAAGGGACTCTTTCCTGCTAGAAATTAAAGAGAGCCACATAAAAGAGTCCCAAGTTGTGGTTGGCTTCCTCCTCACAGTCTAGACACGCTGTGAATGTCTGAGCAGGACCTATGAGGAGAAAGAATGCCGTGTGAAAGAGCTTGCTGACCTAATCAGAACTACTCCACAAATATCTGCAAAGCAGACATGTAGCCAATGTAATATATAGCTAAAAATATCTTAATCAGCCATGGTCACCTCAAAGGTTTTAAATAACCAACTTAAATGTGAAGTTGCAAATGGTCATTAATGGTACAATAAAATTTAAGGTTTGCGTAAAATGTGCTGGATAAGCAGAGCTTGCTCTAATCTGTTCTAGGCAGATCGCAAGATTACTGCATTAAATAAAAAGGCTGATGTGTAACTTAAACACTGCCAAGATATGAAAAGCAGACCTTCATTAGAAAAACGTGTGCAGGGGAACTTTTATCACAACTGGTGACCATGTGCAAGTGAAGAAACTGAAAATATTCAAAAACTGGCGTAGGTTTCGAGGGCGCCATAAAAACAGTGGGATGTTTTACATTTTCTAATTCCTTTTCTTCTAGTCAGCAGCATTTACCAGCAGCAAACACAGCAAAACCCAATGAAGACTCCTGACAAGTCCTTGGAGAACTCCGGCATCAGAAACTGACAGCTCCACAGCGCAGCGGCTGGAGATGCTTCCCGACTGCACTCTGCCGTCACGCAGCTATAAATTGCTGTCATTTCCTAACAGAGAGGCTCCCCTCCTGCCAGCATCTTCTACGAAAGGGACAGGAGGGTTTACACCAATGACTGTTTATACAATCACATTAAATGCTCGCCAAAAACAGTAGTTAGCTACATTGAAAAGGAGCTTCCCTAACGGACCTCAGCAAAGGTACTTGTTTGAAAAGTCAAGCGATCACTGTGCAGAAAGCCATATAAGATTGGAAAGCAGATGCACTGAGGGAATTGGGCTAAGAAGATCCTGCATCTTCCTATAGCCCTCCCCTCTGACAGCTGCCTTAGGGTCTTCAGTGACAAGGCATCACACACAGGGAGCTTCATCTCTACTATCATCTCTCACAAGAATGACACCAGGCTTCAGCCTTCTTGCACACCAAGTGATGGATGGACGTCTGCTACTATTCCCTCTTCTCCTCCCTCCCTTATTTCTTCGGCAGAGTTGGAATCCGTCGCGTTTCAAACAGAAGGTTTACATTTGTCAGTGAAAAAGCTGAGAGCATAACACCGCGTGCTTTTGCTACCTTTCACATGAATATTTTCAGGCAACAAGACCCCCAGCTGAGATGCCTCATTTTGTTTCTGAGCAAAAAGTGTAAAATAACTCAGAGGAGCACAATAAGACGGACGCTTTACATTTGAATAATGATTCTGAACAGGCTTAGCTTGGATTCACTCACCTTGCAAGCCACTTTTGTCCAAAAAATTGCTCAGGTTGAATAATGTGTTTCTTGAAGCCAGGTACTGGATGAATCGCTACAATGCAAAAAATAAGGTTGATATGGCAGAACATATAATATGTACTGTTAAGAGCATAGCAATCCACATGGATAAAATTAAAACATTAAGCAGAGACAGCAATGCAAACTGTTACACTGTACATAAATCACTTTAAGAGTTCTACGCCTGGTTTAAAATATCTGTAAAAGTAAATTAAAATTGTGTGCTACATCGACCAACTGAAGGATTTAGCAGTCCTCAGCTGCAAAAACAAAATACATTATTTCTCTTGAAGGCAACAATACACTGCTTCAATATGACTTTTAAAAGTAGTACAAAATAAGAGTAATTAAAAAGGGAAAGGGGGCTGAACAGATAAAATTAATATTGCATGTGGTAGCCTATTTTCATTTTTTCCCCCCAAAGAAAATCAACTTATAACACAGATGCACTGAGAAAGTTTTTCTTTTAGAGCCATCTATTCCTTGCATCTATTCCTAACAGAGGATACTGTACGATAAATGCACATTTAACTTGTCACGCGAGGCTGCAGACAGTCTAGTTTTAATTATTGATTTGGATTGAGGCACAGCTGCCCAGCCAAGGTTAATACTGCTTTTGTACAGTGAGAGACAAGCCCCTTTTTCATTTAAATTCGCCATTTATCTGTGATATAACCACCTGACATGGATTACCCAATTGTAAATCTTTCACGTCTCAACTCGCAGCCACAAAGCTCACAATCACACACGGGTATACATGTACAGTATATTGAAGAATTCTTTCCCTTAACTTGTCCTGCTGAATTTCTTAAGAATCACGTCTGAAAAACAGCAATTTTAAGTTAAATGATGAATTCGTGCACAACCTTCAAATCCTGAAAGTGGATGAGGCTGCTGCTTGTATGTTTTTGCTTTTAAACTAGCATTTTTAACATGTCTTAAGCTTCTTGGCTACAGTCTAGTAAATCCTGACAATTTCTGCATGAACAGTGAAATTCTTTAAGATACAGAAACAATGTTTTCTAAGGCTTTTAATAACACCCGTACAAAATATTTAGGAATCACTTATAAAAAGTAATTTACATACACAACCGATCAGCTTAATTCTTCTGAAGAAACATTTAAAAATCAGTTAACAGACTTAAGAAGATTCTTTTCGTGATTGATCTCCAATATTTATATCTGATTAAACATGGAATTAAACTGCAATCTTAAAAATGAAAAACATGAGTCTCTACCACTGATTGTGGTAATCAGTTTAGATCATGTGGTCATCATATGAAGCTACTTCCAAAAATTACTTCTAATAATTTCCCTGTAACTGAAACTTAAGGCCAGTCATTTCTAGATTCACTAAACCTAAATATTCTTCATCTAACACAACTGACTCGTCTAGTAGGAAAAACAGTCATGGGTCTGTGAGGATAAACTCAGAGAAGGTTATGCCATTAACTTTCAATAAACATCAGAACTTTCTATGTAATAAGTTGTTGTGATAGGTATCCACTGTACTCACTCTACTAACAAAGCTCTTTCACTTTAGTTTATAATTAAGGCCAAGAGGATGACTACTACTAGATACTGTGAAAACAGACAGAAGCATTCATACAGAAAACACTGGGAAGATTGTGCTCAACTGAAGAGACACATTACCTCATTGCCATAAACCATCAGGTGGTGTGTTGTGATTAGAGCTTTGAAGACCACCACCCAGCTGCTGTTTGTAGTCCTTTCAAAAAGTGTGTCTGCCAATTGTGGGATGTTGACGTTCATCTCATTTGTACACTGGATCAGGTCTGGAGAGGAAGGAAAGTGGGACAAAGTGATTATCTTGCGTCTACGAGGACAAGACAGAAGGTCATATACAGCAACTGAGAAACTGGAAGCGTCTGATCTCAAGACTTCAAAGAAATGAGATCTGACTTTCTCACTTGTCACCTTGGAGAATCATCAATAATGCCACTTCACAAAAATTAGTTCCGCATGTCAGATACAAAGCACTGTATATGAAAATTCATTGCGCCTTAAGAAAACTTTAACCTCTCTCTCTCAATTTTCTGTTGTTTCCAAAGTAGAGAAGTTGACCTAAAGAATACACAAACCTTTCATATTTATATATCCATATGGAGAATGCAGATACAACATATATCTATAGTGAGAAGAAACCCTGTATATTTTTTGTCCTTGGCTCAGTTCCAGTACCATCTGGCTTCAAGTTAAGCCAGTGCTTTACAGCTCATTTACATTCACACCATGAAACCCATCTTCAATGTTGGATCATATCTTCCAGAATCACAACCCTCCCCTCTTTAAAGAAAAGAGCCCAACTAGATGCTAGAACTTAAGCACAATCCAAATGTCTTCAATTCTGTCCAAATGGTGCTCTGTAACAATTCTTTTGCTCCTTGTAAATAGGTAATAAATAATGAGAAACAACCATAAAATAATGGTTAAGTAAAGCATAATCAGGATGCAAACCACATGTGGGTCATTCCAAAAGCATTTCTAACTAAAAGAAGACAAATTAGCTCTGATCAAATCTAGCCTAATAATATTCAGCCTTTAAAATTGATTAGGTATATGTTGCTGGCTCGGGCCTTGAGTTACTACTGGGAAAAAGCAAGTGATCTGAAAAACGTTAATTGATTTTTCAGGGGCAGCTCAAAATGTCGCTCGAGAGAGACACTGTTGTGTCGAGAAAATAAGTTTTGCTTTCAGTTTCAGAGAGCAACAAGGACAATGAAATTTAGTTGCTGCCCCCTGCCAACTGTTAAAACTTCAGATCCAAGTTTATCGTGGCACAACAGTGCACGTTTGTGTTGAATGATTTGCGGAGGATCTTATATTCAGCATGTTGGGGGGGCTTTGATCCCCATTTGATATTCAACATTACTTAAAGAAAGACTTTGATATTCAAGCTAATTCTTCTGATCTTTTTGTTTAACATGTTACAAACAAAAGCCCAAAAGACTATACCTGCAGACACAGATCATATTTCCCAGTTGAAACTGGAATGCTTAATCTTGAACGCAATCCCTTATTTTATTTTTTATTCTTAAAGCACTTGCACTGGAAACAAGTCTAAATGAAATTCTAGAATTTAGCGCAGACCTGCAGCAAGCATAACGAATAGCATCCTTACATCAAGTATTTCAACTGGATATCAACAATCTGTACAGCTGAATGCATGCTGTAGGCTACACCTTTTTCATACCTTGAACATAAAACTGTAGCTCTCAACAAGTTGGAGCAAAGAAACCAACATTTTCTGCAGCACATGTTCTTAGCCATGATGGCTAGTGACACTGTACAAGGGCTTAAATGTTATGTTCATCAGCTTATACTGTCCTGTTTAGCTGGAAGATGAATCATACTGAAATACACACAGTGTTCAGGGTAATGTCAACAGTTCTTCTCTGTTATATACATTTCAAATGATCTTTGTACTGAACCTCTGACTTCCATGGACATTAAGACAGTTACAGCAAACCTGAATTTAAACCAAACAGAACGGACCTTAAAAACCAGAGCACAGAATGTTGGCCGACAAGGTTTCTAACTCATTTTGATATTACAGTATTTTCCTCAATTTAAGATAAACATAGCTCTGACTCAAAAAACAAATCTCCCATGTGACAACAAATGTAATTACATTTATGTACTTGGGAGTCTGGAAAAAAATGCACAAGGGCAAAGAACATGTACTGACGAGTTTTTGGTTGAAATCAAAATCTTACATATTTGTAGTCAAAACTCTGTTACAGGTTGTCTTCAAAAACAAAATATTAAATGTCAAAATACTCCAGAGTAACACAAGAACATACTGCAGTACAGCTAAAGACCAAGAGTCCACACAATGAGGACGTGCAGTTCAGTTACAGTCTTTTGACAATCCAAGGCCAAGGAAAGACTAGATAGAGTAGATAGGATAACAGGGAGAAAAGGCAAACTTGGGAAATCGTGGCATTATAATTTTTCTCTTAAATGAAACTGCAGTGCAGGGCACGGAACAAAATTAGTTATTTATCCAGCCGTAATAATTGAGTAGTCTTCATCTTTAAACAGAGCTAAAATCACATAACTGATATAGTCTGCATATGCTCGTTGGCTAAAAAAAAATAGTGATGAGAGCAGGATAAACTTTCCTAGGGTCATATTTCTTTTGTTAAGACAACAGTGATTTGCCGCAGTAGAATGCAGGACTAGCATTTTGTTTCATACATCAACTCTGTGTGCCCCCTAGTCACTTTAATGACTCCTGAAATGAATCCCATGGGAAAATGTATTGAAGAGATAAAGCTTTTAATGCGAAGCATACAGTAATAAATAGAATATTAAGGAGTATATCAATGACTCCAGCAAGTTCAGGAAGCTTGGCGCAGATTCTTCCAAACAGTTTCTCCGGTGAATGAAGAGCTCATTATTGCCCTGTTGCAGGAATCCAAATGTAGTGGAAGAACAAGATCAAGTGGCGATGTCCTATTAAAGAATTTCAACCTTTTCAGTCCAACACTTGCAATAATAGTTTTGCAGCACATCCCCACCCACACATCACACAGTATAGCCATCCTTAGATTAATGAACAACCGGTTTAAAACTTTTCACCTTAACAAAGCATTTTCATACCCGCTTTTTACCGTGACAGAGAGATTTTCACTCTACCGCAGGCACGGCCTTTGTAGCTGAATGGAGGATGCTATCCTCATAGCGTGACCATACATAACACACTTACCTCGTATATTTAGATTAATGACTGTACTACTAAAGTAAGGGAATTATCACAAGCAATAGAAGTCTTACTTTGACAACTGTCCTGCCCTGTTAGGGTTAAAAATAATGAAGACACCGATTTTCTAGACCTTGAGAACAAATCATAATTTTTTACATGTAAAGTAATGGGAATTTTGTTTCTGGTTTACAAAATTTCACTTGCAAACGTTTTTCCAGAAACGAGTTATGTTTGTAAATTGAGACATGGGGACATAATTAATGTTAGAAACAAAACTCTTTTTTCAGTGTTTCCTCGGCGTTTGCCTCAAAATGTATAGTTATTCTGAGAGGAGACGATGACAGTAAAACTCTTGCTCAGCTCTCAGATATATTCATTTTTTCTTTTCTCTGCTTCCGTTAAATGTAAATAAAAACTCTGCTTGGTACCACACACCATTCCCGCGCATGCAGTCGTAGCCTGTGGCCCTTGTTTTTTCTCACACGTGTCTCTTCCAAAATTCTGTCACGCACTCATCAACATCTGAAGGCACACCGGTTGAGAAACACTGCCCTACTATGAACCTACCAAACTGCACCAAACAGCAATGTGGAATCTGCAAGGAGGAGTCGTTTTAACAAAGCATTGCTTCATACTCAAGAAACTGAAGTCGGGAATGAAGATATCCATCAGGTAGACTATACTTCTAAAAAAAACAAAGCTTTTTTTCTTGATAAGTGTATATGGGGGAAGAGGTCCCAACCCAAAACAGTATAAGATTTCTATCTACCCAGATACTTGAAAAACTAGAAATTCCCTAACTGATCCTCAGGCAGTAACATGACTTCAGAGGAGATCAAGGGAGGTACTGTAACATATCAATATTTCAATAACAACATGCTGTCACATGGCCTTAAATCTGCTCATCTGTCACATACTTTTCACCCACCACCTCTCCAAAGAAGAACATCTTGCTTAGGTGTATTTTGAAGGAATAATCACTAAAAAACGCCATGCACCAGAACCTAGACATTAAAATCGCCCAATGCTGGAATGCTTAAGCGGTCACATCAAGAAATAAATACAATTATCGTGGCATTAAAGTATAAATGATCATGGCTATATGGTTAAAAAAGGAACTCACTGACCCTTTTAATTCTTGGGCTGACAGAAAATGAGAAACACTTGGCTAGCTACACTAAGAGTAATCATGTGATTTCAAATAACAGCAGGATGATACTGCCCTAATATAATATTTACATCGTGCACATGCCAGATTTCAGCATGACAGATGAATACTAGATAAATATTTTATTAGGTAGCCTTCTTTTAAACAATTCTGTGTATTGCTGTATGAACAGCAAAGTTATAGTAGTATAAAATGTTGATATGAAAACATTAAGACAAAAATTCCATCCACATAGAATTAAATTGCATTTACATGGAAACTGAGGAGAATGTAAGCTTTCAGACTGAACCCGTAGATAAAGATCTTCAAAAAACCTTTGTTTATGCCTAAGAGTAAAGTGTGACGAAGGCGTGTTTTCCTTCTTATCAAGATGACGTACATGTGGGAAATGTGGCAGTGGCAGTGACCTTTACTGAGGAACACTTCAAGGCTTCAACGTTTTGTAAAGTGTGGAAAGGCTATTAAATCAACTGTGGGATACTCATCCCTTCTGCTTTGCAACAGAAAGCATAATCGGCGTCAATGTTTCGAGCTGTACTAGATGGTATGATCAAATTAAACACTGCTACCAACCAACGACTTGTGACAAACAGGGCCTTGGTAAGATTCTGGAAGAGTACAGTACATCCGGCTTCATACCAGAATACGGGAGAATTCTTTGAATACTTTGCAGTGTTTACTGAGCAAAGAAATCCACTCTTTTAGATGAAATACAGCTGGATGGCTTGTGCTTTCTGAGTGAGAACACATGAGGAATACAGAGAAAAAAACAAAGTGGCTGCTTTACATTCACAAACAAAAACAACATATTCACCTGCTTCCTGCTTTTATAGGATCATGCTGAGGTCCTAAGTAAAACAGAAGTCATTTCATGCGTCTAACTAAATGTACTCTGAAAT